TAGTTTTAAATTTTGTACAACTCGTTTTTGACATCATACAATTATACTAAAAATTTAAAAAGAAATTATTTTTCAGTTCTTTATTATGATTTTATTATAATTAATACTTAATTAATAATTAGTAGTTATCTCAAAAACTAAATGTGATGGAAAAAATCTGAAGCCAGATTCTTTATCAAATTATGACATTCCATTTAGAATTCGCCTAAGTATTGTAGACATCAAAATGACCGTCGTCCTGTATAATTTGTAAAGCAATAACGATATTTGACACTAGGATCGTTATCTCAAAGTTGATGCCAATTCTATTCAGTATAATTTGTACTTGCTAGAAAACTTTGTGAACAGAAATAATTGACATCATAAAAACCATATCAGCAGAAGTATTTTTTTATGACTTCGATTTCTGACATAGGCCATACCACAAACGATTATTATGCCTTTCCAAATAACTGTCATAAAACTCACAGTCCTATACAGAAATAAGGATAAAAATATAACAATTTTAATATTTTTCTTATTTTCGTCTTATGGAGTAGTATGTATAAAAATAAAAAACATGAATAACATATACAAATTGGAGTCTAACGGAATTTTTTAATATTAAAACGACGAGCCATGTTGTTAAAAAGATTATTGCAAAACTAAGTAAAGTCTTCCACTGAATCATAGTAATATATATATTTTAGAAGACTACCGTTTTGGGTGTTGCGATAGCGTTTAAGTTGTGTCAATATATATATAAACGTAAGTTTAAAATTTTAATTTGAAATTTATATTTTAGATAGACTATATTACTACGTCTGCGAAAAATGAGATATTTCCATACTTTGTAACGATTTAATTAAACTTTCTAATGCTATTATACTGTTAACAGTTTTGAACTTTAAATGCTTCACAGGCCATCATTAACGTTATACGAATTAAAAATTCGATAATTAATAGTATTATATTATATTTAGCGTGCTAAATAAAACAACATTTAAATAAGTATACTTATTAAAAGTTTTTTTATATCAAGTAGCAATTGGAAACATTCTGTTTTCCATCGATTATTGATGTAATTTAAATTATTATGAAGAAATATAATGTCTGTTATTTTTTGAAGGGTATTAATACAAACTTAATCTTATTACTTTGACTTTTAAGAATTGCTAGAAGGTTAATGATATTATGGCGGCAGATTCATATACAACGGGATTATTCTAAAATAATCCCTACAGTGTCACCTCACAATTGTGAACATTAGAGTGAACTATTGTCGTGCGGATTAGGTGGTTAACTCACAAAACTGGTTTTACACGGAATGCAACTGGAGAATATTACCAGATAATTATGTGTCGTTATCGCGGTGACATTTCCTGTACTAAATAACGATAATTACCTTCAGCTAGTATTGGGAAATTTCGACATACTATTGAAATTCCATATTTTATGATATTAAATTTAAAAACTCGATCCATAATTATGTTGATTAGCTAAATATCGATTTTATCGATATTTTGAAAAAAAAAATGATATTCAATGAATTTCAAGACAACTTTTACTCATGAAAAACTAAGTACGTCACACGAATATTAATATTATAGAATTGCTTTTATCTCTCAGATTATTTATAGAAATAATAATATAAATGTAACCTAGATGAAGAGAGAAAGGAGACATTGTACATATATTTTTTTCATAATTTCAAATAGTGGGATTGCAGTAACCAGGTAAAGTAACTTGGTGTAAAAATACACACTTTTCTATCGCACATAACTTTTACTGCATGATAGTAATAAATAATTTCTTATAAGCTAGAAAAACTATTAAAAAATACAAATTTAGTATTAATAGCTGGATTAGAACTCTCTTTATGGAATCAAATAACTAGATAACTTGGTATTTTTTTATTTAAATAACAAAATTATCCCAAAATTGATTCAATTTAGTAATTTTACGATTCAATATCACAATAATTAATTATAATAAGGAAAAAAAAAATGTTGGCCACTTAGGATTAAATTTTTTCTCAAAAATAATAATTTTCAATAAATATGAGAATTGCAAAAAAATTGGAGTAAAGATTATTAAATTAATTATTAAAATTTAATTAATTAATGTATAAAACTCATTTCTTTCAAAATAATTATAAAATGTATTTACNTAATGTATAAAACTCATTTCTTTCAAAATAATTATAAAATGTATTTACATAGCGCTATATTGAACTTTTTCTACATATCGAAATTTTTTTATTAAATTTCATTATGAAAATTCTGTGCAAAAATAAAACTAGTTGTTACTCAATATTGATTAATACAAACCCCCTTTATCCAATCAATAAAAATTCAAATCTTGTACAATTATCTATTATAATATTTAAGGAGTAATTTATACCATATAAGTGTGTCATTTTTTTTATAATCTATAAATTTATTTAATTTTATCTCTATGATTATTTAATGACTTTAAAGACATGTAAACATATTCTAAGATTTGATATTTTTCAATCATTGGTTTATAACTATATAATTAAATTAATTATTTCAATATTAGACTCTTATATAAAGTCCGAAATTCCTTACAGAATTCACCTAAATATTGTAAACAATAAAACATTTTGCACTATTGAATGACCTGAGTTATTATACAACACTACAGTATAGGTTGAATAGAATTTATAATCTAAAATGGACCTACACTTATGCATCGAGAGCCACAATTATCTTAACTTGAATACCCGAAGGTTGTGAACAGGTAGGCAGTTTGCTATTGATATGAAAATTAATTTAATGAACGTGGCAAAACTTTATGCGACAGACTGTCATTCGTTTTAACGGGAAAATCCACTACGGGGTTATATTTTCAATATTACTTGGTAAATATTATGTTAATGGAAAAATTTAATTCACAACGAAAATAATGCTTACCATTTTTAAATTTATAGTTTTACAGTGTATAATTAATATAGTCTGTTATGGTGGTCGATAGTAAACCGCATGCCATCGTTTATGATTAAATATGATTTTTAATAAGCAGTTTCTCTCAAAGCCTTTTCATAAACAGCAATAAGCTATCTGCGTCTCAGTATAGCGTAGGTGCACATTGTACACAGTATATTGTAACTTGTAAGTATACATATTTTATGTTTGCCTTATGGCCACACGAAACTGCGGGAAATTATAATGGTACATCAGACGTTCGATATTAATTTGATAAATCTTCAAAATGATTGTCAGAGTGTCTAAAAAGGAATTCAATTTAGTCGATGAGAAATCGGCCTGTCAGATTTCGCTTTGAAACAATACCACGTTTTGTATCGGATTACTAAGACACTAACAAAATACCAAAAGACATCCATTGACGCGGTATTTTTTTCAATTAAAAAGTCTTTATTTTTTTTTTTAGTGTATTATGCACGGTGAATGTTGTTCAACGCCAGAAATAATTCGCATACTTAATCAAATAAATTACGGTCATCGTTTCTTGTCGTTAACTAATGAAAAATATGTAGAATTCTACCAGGCGGCAAATCTTTCAAGAATGCGTTTTCTTCCGCTTCTCGGTAATATTTTTGCATAGTTTTACTTATTATGATAATTTAATAATAAATTACATTTGAAATTCCTAAGAAATTAGCCGGCCTACTAAGTGTCGTTATTCCAGTATTTATTTATTTCATACCATTCACATCTATTTACACTTTTACTATAAACGACTGTTGTCTAATTACATTTTACCCTTTTTTTTAATTAAATGCGTATTAAATTATTGCCGTATATTCAGTTCAAAATTAAAAAATACGTGTAAGTAAAACCAATAGCTTCTTAGCTACGCAATGAAGCTAAACCGTGTTTTATTAAAATGTTGAAGCATTTTGTACAATTCAACAATGACGACTTTAGTTTAATTTTTGCTTCGATTTATAAAACACTTATTATTTTTTGTGGTATGAAAATCACTTAAATCTCATCAGTATGTAGCACTAAATAACATTACTCATCACGTACCACTTAATCTTAGTGAACAAATTTTTAAAATCATTTTAGAGATATACTTTTTTCAAAGTAAAAAGTATGCTCTACAATATTGAATTTAATTTATATTTGACTTAAATATTATCCAATGAATAATAATGATTTATAGTTGTAAGTATGTTATGTTAGTCACTTAATGTGAAATTCGTTTCTGTTTAATTGTAATAAGAGTTAAAAGTTTTTATTTCCACGTTAATTCTTTGCCTTCAATAATAGTTATATATATTATATTCAACTTTCCAGTGCTCGTAATCGTTACATTCTTGAGTAAAATATCATGCGACTGCAGTAGCTGAAAAACAGCAGACTTTTTATAGCAGCCATTTGATTTAGATTAATCAACAGAACGAAAATTATTTTATCTCCGTGAAATATACACATTCAATACAACCCGACCGATTGAACAAATTAATATTACTCGACTCATTTAAATAACGAAATGGAATAAGTGATAATGTTGTCTCTTGACAAAATTTTTGTATTTTAGATTTTATACTTAACATATTAATATTATAAATTCAGAAATTACAACCGTCGAGTTTTAATAATCGCACATTGAATAGAACTGAAACACAAATCCGTCTAATTTCACCCGAAAATTGTTGAGGTCTCGGAAAGCTCTTGGTGAACCACCGGATCTGCATTTATAATAAAATACATGATGATTAAAATAATAACCAGCAGGTATCCGACCGGAAATTTGGACTGTGAATATTTTATGGTATAAAGTCGCAAACACCAAATTAACACAAAAGTTTAACAAATCGGCATCATAAAAAATAAATCTGCGTTAAAAAAACTAAATCGTATAATATTCTCACTCAAACCCCAAGAGTAACGGCGTGTCATGAATACTCATCAAAATGTTATTTTTAAAAAAGAACACTTTTTTTGTTTCTATAAAGTTTGATTTCTTTTCGAATTTTGTTTTCAAACATTTAGTTTGTTTTATAATAATTTATGTATTCGTTGCAATACCTGTGGTAGATGTGCGTGTCAGCGGAAACAGGGTACTTTTTTTTTATTATTCTAGCTGTTTGAATCTAACACATTTTAACATAGTTTGAAGTACTCACAGCGAAGAAACCGTTTCTATTTCAGACGGTTATTTTCTAATGATTCATATTCAATTATTTCGCTCTTAATTACTGTTTTTTATTGTAACGGAAACTGCCGAAAAAAAAATATATAACTGTTAAAAGTTACACTTGTTGATGGCCGCGCGCGTAGCCGACGGTGGTGGCGGTGACGGCGGCGGCAAGCTTAAGTGTATAATAGTATGTACGTAAACACATACACTCTCACACACTACGACGTACACACGGAGCACCTGTGCGTAGCGATAAACGGCTGGTTGGGTTTCTCGGGTAACGACGACGGGACGTCCCAACGATCGGTCACAATACTGACGTCTACCGGCCGTGCTCCGGGTCCCGGGAAATCAGCCGCGGTCGCGCCATACTAAACGCGCCGCCCCGACCTCGAACCGATCCTGTCGCCACCCGGCAAAATGCTCGCCGTACGTACATCACATACTCACGTTAATATATATATATATATATGCGTACACTGAATGCACAACTGAGATATGATTTACACGGAACGCGGCCGTCAGGTCAAAAAGTGTCGATTCGTTTTAAAACGACATGTTTAAATTCTACGCAATAACTTTTTATTAAACATACAAATAATCTAATTGAAAGATACTCGAATGCATCAAAACTCAGCGATGCAAACCGAAAATGTAATCTCTCTAAGAAATAAATCTTCGTCTGAATTCTCTATCGCGGTAACCTGCTTTTCGTTATTACTTCATTTTGTCGGTTCACTTTTTGCCGTTTATTTTCATAGGATTTTATCGTTGTGCCATTTCATTTTCAACGCTAATTCCCAATTACTTAATATTGACAGCTAACAATACTCGTAGAATTTGCTGTCAATTGATTAAATTTTACAAAAACATATCACAGATCATCTTAATTGTGTTGAACTATTCACTAGCTCGGCTCGTCTTAAATGAGCAGATGACACTTTAATTCGAATGATAGTACAACAGAATATAGTATCCACTTATATTCAGTAATAACACAATTTTATTATTGAGAATAACTGAATTTCGGATTACAGATTATTTGTAATAATCGTGTCCATGCTTTGGCTAAAATCTAAAAACCGTACAATTGAATTATTAAAATGTACCGGTAAAAAATTTAAAAGATTGTTCTCATTGATACCAAAATTATTTATATGATTACATTTATTCTATTGTTGTTGAAGTGTTTAGTTAAAGTAAAGAAGTTATGTACTTATGTACATGCAAAAACATATATTGTATACAAAAATACTATAGCGTATAATATTTTTTTAATTTATCGGAAAAAAAAATAAGATATAAAATATTATTGATATTAATCGTATTATAATTAGAGTTCTTAAGTATGAAAAATAAAATTAAAGCAAACATTTTGCAGTGTGTCATTGTTACTCACTCTGTATTTATAGTCAATGCCGGAAAACCAGGTGTGCAAGGTATATAAGACACACATTGGGAGGTATCACTAAAACTTTTAAAATTATGGTAAGGGAGAAGGAGGATACTATCCACACACGGGTCCTTAGCTTAATAGATGTACTACTGTATAGAGTGCTTTTGAAATTTATGTTCATGAGTTTCAAAAACACTGAATTTTTCCGGAGTTACTAAGTTTAATACAATGAAATATTATTGTCCTTATTTTATGAATTGTATAATAACCAACGTTATAGCTATAACATGTTATTATTAAAAGCTTTTTTTATTCTGAATACAGATTTTTAAACATTCAGTTTTTTAAACATCTTTCTCTGTTTTGTTAACAAATTAAAGTAACTCGAATTAAAAATGAATAATTATTTCTTCGGTTATAAGTATCGGCTCAATATGAATTAGTTATGTAGTAGATCAACAAGTCCTAGCAGATGTTTACCATTATAAACAAACGATATTAGTTAGATATTAGCTACAAGACAAAATAAAGCCGAATGATATAGGCCATAAAATTTATTTTACGGACATTGAGAAAGTGGCTGTATAAACAGCGAAGATGAACGACACCTCTCCACCTGAAACGTTGACTTTTCTGATGTTAAAAGTTTTCTTTATGGAAAGCGATTTACCATTCCCAACAGAAAAATTCGTGGATTGATGTTTTTGCCTGGAATACCGCAAAAGGATCTAGACATGAATATATAACTGTATACTAAATAACAAGACTATTTGCTGGGGATGAATTTTCAGATTAAATTTGTAGGCTATATGATGATGAATTATATATCAATATAAAAAAAGCTTAATAATAGTTATAATTATTATTAAGCTTAAAAAAACAGCACTGAGTTTTGATATCATTTTATAGTTAAGTTTTTAAACTATAGGCATCATTGGTGTAAAAATTTACTAATTATGCTTTAAATTAGGTGTTTTCAGTTAAAAATTTTAAAATACTTTAGCAATTTCATTATGTATTGGCTACATATAATTAACTATCAATAAGCTATTGTGACACTAATTAAGTTTATTTGCATACATAGACAAGGCTACTTCAAAAAAGTTTATAAAACAATTCTGAAAAATTTAAGAAAAATATTTTAATGAAAAAAACAGTCATTTGTAATCGAATTATATTTATAGTCACTTAAGTGTTAATTGAAGTCACCAAGCTATGTTAAAGCATAATTAGTAAACTTTTACATAAATTATATCTATAGTTTAAAAATACTACTACAAAATGACAATACAACTTAAGAGTTATTATTATTATTTTTTTATTTAGCATTTTTTACACGAAGTTTGAAAGAGTGTTTTTGTTGGGATGTTATTTTCTGGAATTAAATATTTTCAACAAAATGTTGTCATTTTGTGGGATGTGTAATTTCTTATCGCTTGAGTGGCCCATTCATAGACACGTATATTTAAATATTTTGCATTTGGAATGGGTAAAGTGTAGTTTTTTATATATTTAAGTTTGAATACGAAACTGAAAATCTATTGGTTTACGCGACGATGTGCGTTTTTTTATGTCTGCCCATAAAAATTCTCAGATTTCACTGGACTGATTTTATTGATCTATATGTCAAAAGAACCCGATTTTAATTTAATTGAACCTCTAATCACCAACAATTGGAAAAAATTCATTAATTTAAATAAATTAAAAATATCTCAAAAAAACGCTAAAATTTTACTAGAAATAATAAACTATCTAATATGCTTTTTAAGAAAATCCGTTGAAAAACCTAGCACAGAAGAGTATATAATGAATCACTCACGCTTGTACATTTTTTTTTTTTAACTCAATTTTTGAAAATGTTCCGGAAGGTCTGTCAGCTTTTAACCTATTTCAAATTAAAGCTTTTACAGTGTACTGAAATATTAAAAAATACATTTGATTTTACGATAAGATAATAATTGATTGTTGTTTAGCAAAAATGTATGGGAAATTCAATTACAGAAATTTCCAATGCATATTGTGTGATAAACAAATAATTTAACACGCTTGCAGTATTTCAATGAAATTTTAAATCATAGCAATTATATAATTAAAATTTTACAAAATATTGTGATATCTAACAAGTTCGCACTGAAGTGTTTTAGCTTCGATGTGAAGCTGAGAAGATATTAATTTTACCATGATGTGTTTATTTATTTTTTTTTTATATCTTTATTGTCACTTTATTTGTTTTATTACTTTTTTTCAGCTCTCACTGGACCCATTTATCTCAACGATACGTCAAAATATCAACAAATTATATCTAGTTGAAGATTTTACCTTCAAAAATTGAAAATTTTTTCCTCGTTCCCCGTAAATAATGAAAATCCCCCACAAAATTACGATTTTTAGAATCGGTAAATTTCGTCATTATTTTTTCTAAAATTGCCATAAAACTTATTGAAAAATGAACAAATCAAAATAATTATTTTTTATATTGAAACCTTACTAAAATAAAAAATATTTATTAGTGTACTAAAGTTTTAGATGATCTTTTTAGAGTGTATCTACCACACTAATTATGATTTTAGTATACTAATGTTACTGTTATCATTCATATTTATATGAAAACTTATATATTTATAACGTTTTCAAATTTATTTAATATTAAATATTAAAATGGAACACTTTCTTAATATAAATTATGTGCAAGTTATTAGTAATTTAGAAATAGTTGAAGATAATGGCCATTCAACAATGAAATTTCGTTTAGCGGAGGATCCATTCATTGGTATGTTACAAAACAAATTACAATATGTAAAATTATCTATTTACATTAATAAAATGTTATTTTCTGTAGTTTTGTCTGAAAGGGCATTTATACAAAAATTTAGACTGACAAAAGTTCTTGCATTAAATTTAATTAATGAGCTACGCCCATATTTAGAACCCTCATCGAGGAGGTCTGCTCTAAGTATAGAGCGCAAAGTATGCAAAATATTGACTAAACAATAAGTAAAATTTTATAAAATTTTTGTCACGATAGGTACTAATAGCTTTATTTTTGTTCATAAGTCACACTTATTGACTTTTTTTCCCCTCCATTGTAAAACATTACACAAATTGAAATAAAAAATACTGACAAAAATCTCGTGACAAATTTTTTATGGGTTAATTTTGTAGTTATCATAAATATTATCAAGTATTAACTGTAAAATTAATATAAAATACAGTACAGCCAATATAATTTAACATATCGCACTAATAATTATTGGTTTGAAATAACATTAGATTAGACGATGTACGATTAGTGCAAGATTTTTAGACTGATAAAAAATAAAATTCAAAAATACGAATTTCCATTAGTATTAAAATCATAATCTAATGTTTTAGTGTACTAAAATATTCGCCAATGATTAGTCCAATCTCAAAAATAGACCCTCTTGTCTGAATTCCAACTACTTAGGGACGGCCAATATGAATAAATACAAATTAGAGTTATTAAATTAATATCCAATAATTTAATATTATAATTTTTACAGAGAAATTATAAAAAATTATAAAGTAGTTGTTTCAATTATGGTTATCGTGTATAAAATTGAAGGGCGTGATGAATACTTAAAAAAAAAATTTGTTAGTTACTTTTGAATAATTAGACGAATTTGTATACAAGAAATTTTCATCAGAGACCTAAATATATTTTTTTAAATCCATTTTTTCATCGATTTCATATCTGCAATTAGATTTTTTTTTTTTAGATTATTAATAATTAGTAAAAATCAAGTTTTTACACATAATTATAAAAAAAAATGTTTAAATTATTATTATTATTATTTTTTATTAGAAATATACAATCTGTACAATGAGCACAATAAGCATATATGATAAAAGTAATAAAAAAATTTACATGAATACATTTTGATGGAAGAAACCAC